AGTGAAGGACACAGCTTAGATATGTGCTCACAATCTGATTTCTGAATACTCCTAATTGAATTTATCCACTTATGACAACTCCTTCAGGGCAGAGACTGCCATAGTAAGCTCACCGCATGGAGCTGCAGCACCCGTGTGAGTCAGAGGGAGGAGGGGGCAGGGTCTGTGCATTGGGCCTTCCGGGCTTGGGGAGCAGACAGACATGGCACGAGAGAAGTCAGCACTGTTACTCTTTCATAATTCACCATGCGGAAACTTGAGAACGGGAGTAGCTCACCCTGAGACACACTGGGCACAAAAGGATCACCAGATGAATAGGATGGGGGTGTGGTCAGAATAGCACACGGGGTCTTAGATTTCCAAGAAGGAGTAGCTCTGGTAGCAGTAAGGACCAGGATGTGGCCATGGACATGGGTGGCTGTGGTGAACTAGAGGTGATGTCAAGGGCTGAGAGCTAGGGCGTTTTAATTATTCCTGTGGACACCGTTAGGACTCAGGATGACACTGGACTAGGGGTGCCAGCTAGTAGAAAACAAAAACTCTAGAGTGTGACAATGATGATCTTTGAAGCAGGAGCGAGAAGCCTTGGGCTGGGTTGTGAGACTGGGCTAAACCATGAGCTCCATGTGGAATATGATTCTAGAAGTGAAGAAGATATTTGATGCAATTGAATTTCATCAATTTCTTGTGTCGCCATCTCTATACCAAAGATAAATTCATCGTGGGATGACTCTGTGTTCATATTGAGGTTTTCACTTAAATCTCTCTGCTCTGTGTCAGGGAGAGAATGAAGACCTCAGTAACTGACTTAATGGTTTTCAGGATAGGCTTTTAATAGGAAAAGAAAGCTTGAGCATTCCATGCTCCAGATCAGAGATCATTCCATCCAGTGAGAGATCACGAGCTTTCTAGCAGTGATAGGCAGAGTGCTGACTAACTCCCAGAGTTGGGAATTGTGTGCGTGTGCATGACAGATGTCTTTCTCTCTTCACTTTAAAAGGAGTGGCCTCAGATTCATCGAGCCTCTGTCTCATACACGGGACCTACAGAGAGACCTCCCAGCGCAGCAGAAGAAACCCCCCCACGGCCCTCCCTGTACAGGAGAGTGTTACGGAGGCTCGCGTCCTACTGGGCGCAGCCGCAGGACGGTGAGCAGACCCCCAAATCGGTGTCAGAGGCTCACCTAGGGCAGGAGAAGCGTTTCAGGGACCACCGAATTCAGCCTTCTCTGTGCCACAGAGCAGGGCCTGAACCGGCACAAACGCTGGCCATGAATGGCAACGCCCTGTGCTGCTGGAGACACGGTGGCTCGCTCCTCCCGTCACCGACCTTTGCGATACTCCGGCTGAGTTGGTAGAGGTGTTTCAGGCACAGAGCGTCCATTCCGGGCCTGGCTCTTTATCCTGTCAGAAGTATGAAGTGAAGGAAACGAGGGTGGAGAGTCAGCAGATGGGCTCAGGAGGCCGAGCCAGGCAGCGGGCAGCTCGCCCTCGGCAGCGGAGCGGTCAGATGTTAATGGAAGACACTGACCCGTATCTGATGCACTCACAGCCCCTTCCAAGGAGGTGAGCCCGGCGGTCTGGAGAGACATGCAGCTGTCCACCATCGAACTGTCCATCACCACGCGGAACAGACAGCTTGACCTGACGGTAAGTGTGTTTTTTATTAGAAAAGCATTTGGTATCTGGGAAAAGTGGCAAAGACGACATGCTCTTCCACTAATTCGTTATTTTTATTTTTACCCTGCGGGATAGAGAGTGAGGAAAAGAGGATGTGGCGTGCCCTTAGGAACAATGCTATGAGAAGCAGCGGCTGAGTGACGAGGGGCCTGAAAGCCTCAGGGGTTTGGGTCCAGTTCTGGGGATTGCTTAGTAGTAGTCACCAAGCCTTCTGCCTTCAGAGAACCAAGGGCAAAAGGCCTTTAGAAATGAAAAGTTAGCCTGCTTCCATTTGTCACAGGAATGAAAAATTGTGGAACTTGAGTAAATTTGTTGGTAAACAGCCATTATTTTTGTGACTATATTAAATATAAAGATTTAGTTCCCCAGAAGAAAAAACTATGTGTGTGTGTATATGTGTACACACACACACACACACACACACACACTCTATCTCTATGTTTACATGTTAATTCGAGTCCAGTCTATTGACATGCACTGTCCAATATGGTAGCTACTCGCCACATGTGGCAATTTAATGTAGTTGGAGTTAAAATTTAAAACTAATTTCTTCCATCACAATAGTCACATTTCAAGTGCTCGATTGCCATATGTGACTAGTATATATGGTATGTGTAGCTGACATATTGGAAAGTGTGCATCTAAAACATTTCCACTACTGCAGAAGGTTCTACTGGATAGTGCTGCTCTAGGTAATACTCAACAAAATAGTGAAATAAAGCAGAGGGTTGGCAAACTGGTCTGCCACCTGTTTTTGTTTGTATAGCCCACAAGCAAAGACTTGATTTTACATTTTTTAAATGGTTGGAAGAAAAAAATTTGTGACATGTGAAAAGTGCATAAAATTCAAGTTCAATATCCACAAGTACAGTTTGATTGGAACACAGCCATATTCATTCCCCTACATGTTGTCTCTGCCTGCTTTTGTGCTGCAGTGGCAGAGCTGAGTTGTCGTGACAGACTGGCCCAAATGTCTAAAACAATTGCTATCTGACTGCTCAGAAAGTTTACTGACCCCTGGCATAGAGAAAGCCTTAGAAGTTTATGTTAATGAGAATGCCAATAGAAAAGTTATCCTTAATTGCGGACCAATTACTATAATCAGGTTTTAGGCAAATCAAAGTAGTATGTTCACAGTTGACCTGGTCAGTCTGAAAACTGGCACATGGAGTTGAACATAAGTGATGATTGTGTGAGTGGAGATGAATGAGTAAGACAAATGTACTGAGAAATTTGATTCTAATATTAATATTCAGAATATTGAGTTGTTTTCTAATTATAAAACTAATTCATGTGCCTTGTATAACTTTTGGATAACATAGCTCCCTTCAACTTCTGAATTAATCATAGTTGGATTAGAAAGTTAAATGTAAAAAAAAAAAAACCAAACATTAAAGCTCCAGAGTGAAATCTAGGTGGTTACCAGTATAAACCTGGAGAGAACAAGGCCTTTCTAAGCATGGCGCCTAACGCAAAGATCATACTGATGCATTTGTCTATGTATGATTAAAGAAGAAACTCTAGACAAAAATTTTAATGACAAATTAAGAAAAACATTAGAATGTGAATGACCAGGAGTTAATAGCTTTCCTTTATAACAAACTTAGGATAAATCAATAAGAAATGGGCAAAGGACTAATATAGAAACAACAGGAAAAAGGCAGGAATAGAAATTCACAAAATAAATAAACACGAAAAAAAGTTTATATTTACCAAATATATACTACGTGCTAGGTACCATCCTAAGACTTTTATATAAACACTCACATAACCTTCATGACTACATTATCAGGCAGATATAACTATTACCTGTATTTTATAGGTAAGGAAGCAGAAAAAGTGCCCAACAGCAAAGAACTGCAAATTGAAATAGTAACTACCGAATTGTCATAGATTAAAAGCACGCCCGTGCTCAGTGCTGGCGTGGTGAGGGAGTGGGCCGTCGCGTGCGTCTGACGGGCCTATCCGTTGGAATCCCCTTTCTCAGTGGCGTCTTGGCTGTATATGTGAACCGTCTAAAATGTAGTCACACCCTTGGCCCCATTAAGTATATTTCTAGTCTATCCTACAGAAATCATCAGATGAACACATAGTGTAGACAGTCCATTATTTCTTACATAATGGAATTCTGGAAACATTGGCGAAAGTGAGTATGTTAAGGTTAAGTTAAATATATTCCTGTTCTAGAGGAATTTAAAAAAGATAAGATTTCTAATTATACATTTCTTTATACCCAATCTCCGATAACATGTATTTCCAGTATTTTGTTCATGTTCTTTAACACGGTCCTTTTCTCTGACGATCGAATGCCAATGAACAGATTGAGTTCAGTGGGGCCGTGATTGCGGCTCTAGATCAGCCCCATTCAGAAGGCTGAGTGCTTTTTATCTTTGTGCCAATTATAAAAGTATATGACGCTGTGCTGCTTATCCCAGGTAGCAGCACATTCATTTTCTTTTTTTCCACACCTCTTTGTAAAAATAAAAGCAAATGCAGTAAAAATTTCAAAGACAATGAAGCTGTCAGATAATAGCATAAAATGTTCATTTATCATTTAACAAAGTATACTCAGAGTCTGAAAGAGGCTTTAGGGTGTGTGGAATGTGTGAAAATCAGGGTCTCTTGTACAGTTGTGTGCACTGTATTCATAAGGGCAAAGCACATGAAACAAGCTAATTGGGACTGATTCAGGACATTTGGGTACATTTACTTAAAACGTGCCCTCTATTTACTGACATGGAAAGATGCTCATCGTGTACTGTTGAATGAAAGACCAGGTTAAAATGATTGGCATCAAATGATTCCACTTTTATTTTAAAAAGAATATTTCCACCTATAATTTCGTGAATGACAGAGGTAAGGCTCCGTTTTTATATTCTTTTCATATAGAAAGCCAGTTGTCCAAGCACCATTTATTGGAATGTCCCCTTCCCCGCCACCCACTTCCAGCTCTGCAGAAAACCTGTCCTATGTCAGCTGTCTCTACACATGGAAATGTTTGTAGTTTCTCTATTCAGTTACTCTATTTTTCTATATTTGTAAAATGCTCTTCTTAATCCTTGTTTTAAAATAAGTCTCTTTTTTCTTCTTAGAGAGTCTCTTGGCTATTCTTAATTCTTTGACCTCTATAAATCTCTTGGAATGTTTATTTTATTAAATTCCACATAAAAAATGTTATATTGATCAGGATTACATTGAACCTATAGATCAGTTTGAGGGGAAATGAGATTTCTATATTAACTCTTCTATTGAATAAATGTGACACAGCTCTTCACGTATTTAGATTTTTAATGTCTTTCAATGAAATTTTATAGTTTCATTGTCTTCCTGGATATATGTCTAGTTATCTTAAATTTTAATGCTCTTGTAAATAGTATCTCTTATTTTTTAACTATCTGATTTAGTAGATGAACATGTAATTGATTTTTTTATTGCTGAATCAACAAACAAAATTCTTATTTTCTCTCTGGGTTCCTTTGGATTTTCTATCGATTCAATCATGTCAGTTGCAAATGGTGTAAGTTCAGTCTGTTCCTTTCAAATACTCAGCCTTCGAGTCCTTGAGCTTACCTGACTGCACTGGCTCGGACCTCAGTACAGTGTCGGGCAAGAGTAATAGCAGGTGTCGTCGTCTTATTCCTGATGTAGAGAGAGAAGTTTCGTTGCTTCATTCTTGAGTTTGATAGGGCTTTTTGTAGAAACCTTTTATAAGATTCAGGAAATTCCCTCCTATTCTTGGTTTGCTAAGAGTTTTATCATGAATGGATAGTTATCAGGTACCTTTCCACAATCTGTTGAGATAAGGTTTTCTCATTTAAATCTGTCAGTGTAGTATATATAATACATTGATTTTTGTACTTGTACTGCTTGCAAAAGACAAATCCTAGACATGTACGTCTGTGTACTTAACTCACCCTCCTGGATGTTTGATACACATTTCAATCTCAGCTGGTCTAAGACTGAGCTCCTGGTCCCCCCACCTGCTGAAGCCCGCTTCATCCAGTCTTCCTCCACTGTGGGTGATTGTAATTCTAATCTTTCATTTGTTCAGGCCAAACATCCTGGAGCCACGCTCGGCTACTCTTCCTCTGCTCACTGCTCAGCTTTGAGGAAGTCCTGGCGGCTTCACCTTCTAAATACTGCAGACACTTCACAGATCTCCACCGCTACCCGATCCAAGTCATCGGGTTGTACCTGGATCATTGCGATAGGTTCCTAAGTGGCCTCCCTGCTTCCTCCTCTAAACACAGGAGCCAGAGAGATCCCACTGAAATGAAGCGAGATATTTCTCTGCCTAGAATCTTCCAGTGGCTCCCATTCCTCTCGGCCTAACAGCCACATCCCTTGTAACGGTCTCCAGGGCTCTGCCGCTCTGGCTGCCATCTTCTGTGGCTTCCTCCCCATCGTTCCCTCCCCGGTGCCCCAGCCACCTTGGCCTCCCGGCTGTCCTTGCACGTGTCAGGCCCGCTCCCACCTGAAGGTCCTGCCCCGGCACTTCTCTCTGTGTAGCTCGTTCTTCCTAGACCAGTGGTTCTCAAAGTGGGGTCCTTAGACCAGCGATAGCAGCGCCGCTCGGGCACGTGTTAGCAACGAAAAGTCTTGGGCCTCACCCCAGATCCACTGAACCAGCAACTCAGAGAATGAGGTCAGAGGCTGAGCTCCGGGTAATACTGGCTAGAATCTGAGAACCACGGCCCTGGGTATGCATACTGCTAATTCCCTCACCTCCTTCAGGTGTCTGCTCAGAGGCCACCTTCTTTATGTGGCCCACTTGGACCCCTCTTTAAAAACGTCACTGCTGCCTCCATTGCCACCTGGTACTCCTTGTTCTAGTTCTTTTCTCTCATTTTTCTAATATGCTCTAACTTACCATTTCTGCCGTATGCATTCATTCCGTAATTTGCTGTTTCTATTCCGATCTACTCTAACGTACTCCACTATTTCATTATGGTTTTTGCTTTGCTCCCCTCCACTCTCTGGTAGAATGTAACCTTTTGTAGGCAGAATTAGGGGGATTTTGGTTCATCGATGTAACCCAGGCACCTAGAGGAGTTCGCTCTGCAAGTCACTGCTGAAGGATGGGGAGCTCAGCAGAGCCGTCCCCTCGTGTTCTGCAGGTCCGCGCTGAGCGACTGCGTTGTGCTTCCGCGATGCCCTTGAATCCCTGGTGCAGGCCACAGAGGCCTCTGGGTCACTCTGGGGCGCAGGGCTGAACCTGCCCACAGAGAAATGCAGCTCTGTTGGAAGCAGCAGAGCATCAGGACTGGATTGCAGAGGGCCAGCTCCGTGGTACCCACGAGCAGACTGGAGGGAGCGAGATGAGAACCAAGCCAGTTTTTACAGCACTTTCTCGTAGCTCGGTTCTCACAGAGCCTCCTTGTGGCTGGGAATAGAAAGTTCTTAAGACATTAGTGTGGCGTAAGTGGATTGCTTCTCCGAGCTCTGGCTGCATCCCAAATGTGCATGTACGGCATTTTACAAAACAGATTGGTGGGCTCTCCACTCTGGAAGCGGACCTGGCAGCTGTGGTGTGATGCCGACCTACAGTGAGGATGAGACTGACTGGGAGGGGATGCTAGAGACTAACCGTTGTTAGTGACAGAATTTCACAGACCCCCACTCTGGGTTCTGACAGACCTCCAATCCTTTGTTTTTATTTACCTTCTGTATGTAGTAAGAAACAAACAATGGAGATGAACTTTATGGTATGTAAATTACACCCCCCCAACAAAGGACCAAGAATATATTCGGGATTAAGTCACTAAAATTCAGCGCCCCCTACATCACCTGCAGCTCTACAACATGAACCTCCGGCCTTCAGGGTGACGACGAGCTGCATTAGGTAAATTTTAGAGTATTAATGTTTGCCTTTCTGACTTTTTTAGAGCACAGAAGACTTTATGAACATCTGCATTGAACCCGCCACTGTCAGCAAAGGAGACTTCATAATTATAGGGTAAGTGGGCCGGGTTTGCAGGAAACGAGGCTCGAGTCGTTTCTATCGCCAGGCTTTTCTGTCGCGTGCCCATGGAGTCCGAGGCGGAGAGCCAGCGAAGGGCTTGGGGAATGGTAGCGTCGTTTCGTGTGGGTTGGCATGTGCCCTGCACCTCTCTCTCCTTTGGCCTTCCCTGTTCCTTTTGGGGAGATCAGAGTGTGGGAGCCATCTTTGCCTTTCAACTGAAATGAGAATTCCGTGTGGCATGACGTAGCATCCAGAATGTGGGCCTCGGGGTCCGAACTACCGGTTCTGACATTCTCTGGCCTCAGGACTTGGTCAGATCCTCACTTCACTGCCTCCTTTTCCCTGTGTACAGAATGAAATAACAATCACCTCTCATCTCGGGATTGTTTCTGAGTCTTAAGTGAGAGACTGGGAACAGTCTCATTGTGAAGCCTTGTCCTCAGGGTGTTGATGAAAAACCTGAAGCGAGGCCCTCGGACACCCTCCAGCTTCCCCTTTCCCACCACCCAGTACCTTCCAAGTCCTGTGTGACCTGCTAAGCCTCCCTCAGCCAGAGTTGTAGTGGTTAAGAATGTTCTAAGCCTTCCGCTGACCTTCCGAGCGGCCTGTCACCATGCTGACTGGTGGTCCGTGCTGTCTCGGAGCTCCCTCTAGTGCCCACTTAAGGGTTAGGCATTTCCGCTGCGGAGGCTGGGTCTCCATGGCGACTTCATGATCAGCGCCGGTAGCAGAATGTCTCATTAGTTTGTGGTGGTTTCGCCTTTGGTACAAAAGCTTCAGATGTTGAACAGCTGCTTCTGCAGCCTTTGATTTACTTGCTGTTTCTGTAGTAAGAGGAAGAAGGGACAAGCCCGTCCCCTCTTCTCTAGAGCATGCAGAAGCCATATTGTCCTGCTGGAGAGTCTGGCCGGGGGGCCAACTCTAGCCAGTCTCCTTTCTCATACCGAGATCCCCAAACAGAAAAGCTGATGACGGTGCCTAAGTTAGGGGGGGGCCATTACGTGCCTCACTGTTGCCAGCACTGGTGGCAGCGAGTTTCCTGTTGGCCTCCACAGGAAGTGAAGTCAGGTAACGTGTTTCCTCTGGGCGTCTGAATAGGACATTGTGAAGTTGTTTTAGAAAACTCTGACGTTTCACGTGCTACAGAATTAGTTGTCAGTTAATGAAAAAGAATGGACTACTTTACTCGGACGAGCCATTGCCCTTCTTCTGTTTCCCATGGCTGGTCGGGAAGGGTGTGTGCGCCTGGTGGACTGTGTGTGGGCGGCCTCATAGTTTTACTCCCACGGCACGTAGTCAACGTAAAGATGCTTAATATCAGAGCGCTTCTAAGACTAGTTGTTCCTCTATGTAAGAAATGTCCACTTTAAATTAAAAATAGTCTCTCCAAGAGTTGACTCACAAGGACCAAATGCCTTGACTTACTCAAGTACATCCCTCTAGCAACTTTTGTTCCCCTTTCCAGCATAAAAGTACCAAATAGGGAAAGTTTAGTACTTTTCCCAAAGAATTTCATTCTAATTTAAATTTGGGGTTTTTAGTAGCCCAAGAATTAGATACATATTTTTAAAAATCACTCAGTCTTAGCTTCATGCATAGTTCTTTACATCAGCTAAACCTCAATCCAGACAACACTAACGCTAAGCAAGAATCCTCGGAACAACCATTCAGAGGCGCCCGTGCATCACGAGCCATATATCTAATCGCATCGGAAGCGGGAAGAACGCGCTCTGTCCTTGCCGTCTAGCAGCGGCTGGCGCCGGTTCCCAACTGCTTTTTCTCACTAACAGAAGTAAAAAGGTGCACGACCCCGAGCTGCACGCCGAGGGCACCGAGTGTCTCCAGGCCAGCCAGTGCGCTCTGCTGCTCCCTGAGGTAAGCGGGGCGTGGCCTGCCCTCCCCTCCGCGGCCAGGCCCTTGCTCTGGCCCCTAGCGTGGGCTCAGCACCGTGCCAAGGCCCGGGTCACGTTGAGGGAGACGGAAGTGATGACCAAATCCCCTGCGAGTCACGGAGCTGGACTCCTGAGGACGGCTCATGGTTTGAAGCCAGAGTTCTGTGAAGTGGTCCTCGGTCACCCGAGCTTTAAGTTATGCAAAGAGTTACTATATTATGACACAGGATTTTCAAACAGTAACAGTGCATTCTACTTTCAGTTTTTATGATGGATCTGGAAGCAGTTTTCAGAGTAGCACTAAATTTTTCTGTATTGTGAAATGCCAAACCTAGAAGAATAACCAATGTAAGTGAGAAAAAATGGGGACTAGCACCTAAGTTGTAAGCCTGTTCTATTAGTACCGTCAGGAAAAGAACGTGACCAGAGGTCGCTGTGCAGACCTGCAGCCCGTGTCCTAGTGCTGTCTGCAGAGAGGGCTGCGGGTGACACAGGCAGTGACACAAGTTTCAACACAGCGACTGCTGAGTTCAGTGCGCTGTGGAGTCTGTAACGCTGCTGCTACACCTCAGTGGAAAGCTAAGCACGTCCTAAAAAGAACCTTGAAACCAAGCACGTGGCCCTAATGAGTTGTCCTTCTAAGAGGAGGGCTGAGAAGGACATGTAACATTTTATCATCGATTCCTTCTTTTAACATGCAGCAGGACTCTTGTCTTTATATATATTTGAAAATTATAACCTTGCTTCTCAAATCCCAAAATACTCGTAGGAGATAGAGGCCACATAAAGTGCAGCCTTTTTCGTGGACGGTAGAATTGGGTGTTTCTAGAACCAGCATTGAGATACTTAAAAGAACACTCGGCCGAGTCCACGGAGGGGATGGCGCTGTGACGACCTGCTCGGGTGCTGGCAGACCCCGCCTGCCCTGGGAGTGAGCCCGCTGCGTCTTCCCTTCTCCGCAGGGCGTAGGGGGCTCCTTCAGCATCGACAGCGAGGAGTACGAGGCGATGCCCGTGGAGGTGACGCTGCTCCCCAGGAAGCTGCAGTTCTTCTGTGATCCTAGGAAGAGAGAGACGCTGCAGAGCACGGCCCAGTGAGCGGGCGGCGGCGGGAGACGAGCGCTCACACTGCACTTTAGACCCCCCCATGGGACCAAGAGGGAACAAACGCCTCACCTGTCCCCAGTGTTGACAGACCACCCCAGGGGCCTTGTCATGGCAAGTAGCTCTGCTCTTCCCAAGCTGTGCTCCGTGCCACCCGCCTCGCAGCTTTCCATGAGCACATGCTTTGCCCTGTAGGAGTCGATGCTGCCCACATCCTGAGTTTCCTCGGGCTAGCTCAAGGAAATCCTCATACCCAATGGAGGGAAAAGGGCTAGACCTTGCGATCGCCCCAAAAACGCAACCACGGTGGCCGTCCTAGGACCTCCAGGGAAGTGCCCGCCTTCTGCGCCACCTCGTCCCCACGGGTGCTGCTCCTCCCTGAGTTCTGATTCGGCTCATTTCAGTTCTGTCAATCCAAAACATACGTGAGATGTTCCCCCCGTCAGCCATGGCTGAGGTCCTGTAACATACTAGTATTTCTTTTTTTAAGGGAGCTCTCCTTAAGTGTTGGTTTGCTTGAGAACCGTCTGGGCTGCATATTGAAAACTGAGTTACTGGGGGCCCAGCCTAACTCTCTCAATCCAGGATGGAGCCCAGGAATGTGCATTCCTTCAAAGGGCCACCCTGCAGAGGTGACTCTAGCACACAAGGGCCCCAGCCTTACCTGGACAGCGTGTAAAGCAGTGGTCCACCCACCATGCCGCTCGTGCACTTCCTGAGTATTGTGAAAAACCACGTTTACCCTCACACTTTGAAGTTGACATCTGGAATTTTTCATGGGAAGTTGCCAATGTATGTACTTTCTGCTGTCCTGCAAATGTTGATATTTATTAACTTCACTCTTTTAAACATGATATTCAGTGTAATTTAAATACATACGATTTGACATCCATTTACAAAAATAAATAAGTTCTTTAGCAGTTGAAAATTTTAAATTGATTTTTCTCCTTGTATGTATATTTCTATACCACTTTCAGCAAAGAATGCTGTCATAACGTAATCTATTTTTATGCTTGAAATGTTTTTAGTTAAGTGTTAACTCAGTACTGAATAAATGTTATAATCGATATGTTTGAAAATTAAAAAGTAAAGAATTTTATTAGAATGTTCTTTATCCTAATTAGCTCATTTATCTGAGAACACAAATGTTATTTGGAGCTAAGATGAGATAGGGCTCAATATCAGTTATAGTCCTTGTTCCATTCTTTATAGATATAAGCATATAAATAACTAGATGAGAAAGAATTCTGTTGTCATGCTGCTCTTTAAATTCCTTTAGTTATGTCAAAAATCAGCGATCTGCCTTCAAAAATTATAATGATATGTCAACAGCGTGACTAGATCTTCTAAGGGTTCGTTAGCCATTACCATCATTTATTTTTAATACCACTGGATTTTCCCTTGTTTGGCGCACCTGAGGTTTTACACACTAGAGGCCAGTGCAGCACAGTAGCATGGAGGCGCCACAAGTCTTTTGTAAAGAGGAAGCAGAAGTGTGAGGGGGAAGAACTGGCCCGGCCTTGGCCACAGGCTCCTCGGTTCCAGGCTGGCACGCAGGCCTGTGCCCATGAACTCCTGGCAGAGCGAAGACGGACGCTTTAAAGGATTATAAAGCAGCTGCAGAAAGCCCACGAGTGAAGAGCACAAGAAACAGGCTTACCTGTCTATCCTTCAGAGTGGCGTTAAAAGCTGTGCTTACTGCCAAAAAAATAACAGGTGGTCCGAACATGCAAAGTAAGGATGAGCCGCTCCATACAGCCTGTGGAAGGGATGCTGTGCTGTAAGAGAAAAAGTTTCACGTGAGCCAAGGGCATTTAGCATCTCCTGAATCCAGAACAGAGGACCAGCATAGAATCAGGCTTCCTTGACAGGCTACCAGCACGTGTGTGTGTTTAGCGATTCTAATCCTTCCATCAAAATTACAGGATCGTTAATCCAGATTTTAAAATTCATTTTAAAATAGAAACTTGCCCTGGCTCAAATTTTTTCTTGATTCAAACTATTTCCTGTGAGAATATGGTTTCCTTATCTATTGCCTTATTCTTCCCCCTGCCCCTCCACGCACCGTCCATGCAGAGACCCTTTACCCTTCTAGAGCTGGCTGCCGAGGCATCCGGGAGACCCCGAGCGCCCCCCGCTCCCATCTTTAGTACAAACCTTCTGTCAGACTAACTTCAGTCAGAAGCTAAGATTATTTCCATTAAAAAGTAGATGTTTTCTATTAAATATAAAGAAATATAAAGCCTTTTGCTTAACCCCCGTCCGGTTCGCATGCACAGCAACTGACTCAGCCTGTTGTCACGACCACCCTGGGAGCAGGTGACATGGTCACACAGCTTGCAAGGTAGCTCTGGTTTTTGAACACAGAGCCAACATTATCAGGAATTTATACTGCCTCGAAATAACTTCCCCAAAGGTTAAAAATGTCAGCATGTACTTGCACAAACACATAGACGGTACACACATATATACCAATCACATATACGGGCAGTAATATAGTATAATGTCTTAAAGTCACCTTTGATGAGCGGAGATGTGAAGCAGAGGGCTTGGGTCTCCGGGGGTCCTTCTCTAGCTGTCGTCTGGCGAGATTGAGGGGCTCAGTCCTGGCTCTCTCACAGTCGTTGCCAGCTTTGGCTGCATCACCGGAGAAGGCTCATCCAGACCTCGGCCTCCGGGACAGGCACCGGCTCTCAGGCTTCCTCACCCCACCGTGCCCGGGGCTGAGGGCCGCGTTCAGCCCACGCACCGGAGCTGTCCCCGCTCCCCACTACGACCACACTTCTTGGACTAGGTGAAGGACTGTAGCACACGTGTTCATGTTAAAATGTGAATTTTAATAGTAAAAACTGTTTTCTGTAAATATAGTTATATCAACCTCTCTGCATACAATGTGGTCAGATATATACAGATAAGATAAACACAGATGTTACTTGTACCACAGAACAAAATCAGTTCAAGAAACATTTACTCGTAGCTTCAGGATAACCCCAGCTTTCTTTAGGCCTTTAAAACTGTCACCATTGAAGACAGAGAGCGAGAACGACACACCCACACCCGGATGCACTGGTCCTCAGGGTAAAATGTATCAACTGTCTTACAGATTTCATAATAGGAGGTAAAGACCTGAAACAAAAATAGATTCAGTTTCTCTTATTGCTATAACTCTTATACTGGGGTGTTAATCAAAATAGGGGTTCGACATTTAAGGCGACGGGGGGGCTATGCTTTTCCTAACCCAGAAAAATTAGGACAACTGTTTTTCCAAGACTACAGCTATTTCTTTTTCAGGAAAGGTTTATTTCCCAAACCTACAAAAAGTTTAGCCAACAAGCTGGGGGTAAGGAAGGAAGTTAATTTTGTTTTTCTCTACTCTGTACCCTTAATGTCTCTGATCTTGTCTTCAAAAAGCCAGGATTTCTACCTTCCCTTAGGGTCTTCGTGGGCATGCCAGACAAACTTCCTGATGCCACCTTCAGAAATTTTTTAATACTTTCATCTTTGTTTAATTTGCCCAGAGGACGTTGTCATTCTACTACCAAATATATTAGCAATCAGCTCATTCAGTGACCCCTGGGTTTTTCATTTTGTGGGTCATCTCTAATACTCTACTACCTCCACCCCCGCATTCCCGGCTGTCCTTAGAAAGCAGAGTAAATGGATCATTAGTCTAAACAGGCATTCTACGGCGAACAAGTAATTCACACTTACTCTTCTACTAGAGTAATTAAATTTTCTGAATTTAGGTCCTATTTACCTCTAAAAGCCCATGCTACGCTGAGCTTCTAGAAAAAACTCTAAAGAAATGAAAGCAAGGCTTTAATTCTCCATCATTCCTATAGCACTAGAAATTTCTTATTTCCTTTCCGACCATGCAGTTTCATCCAACGGCCCCTGTATTCCAGCTCCAAAAGTGAATTAAAGTGCCAGTTACAAGAACTGCCTCCCAGCCCTCCCAGTGACGGGGCCCGGTCGGCATTGTCACATTTACCCCCTTCCGTACAAGGGGACTGTGTGCCACCCTCCCTAGAACTGTCAAGTTCATCCCCTAAAGAGTGCTCTCAATGTTTCACAGTCCCCTCGTTCACTCTCCAAAAGCTTCATTTAAGATGAAACTTTTATGGGATCTTGGCTGGTCCCAAATCCCACACTGCCCATTTCTTGCAGGATTATGGTTTGGAAGTTCCCTTCCATTCCAACCTCTGCGTACTCAGTTCATCACACAGTATACCGATATAAAAATACACTTCCATCTCTTATAGAAAAACATTAACTCAATTCACAGTTAGCCTTTTCCCACAACACACTGCGCACAGTAGCTCCTGGGAACAGAGGTATATTAGGAACATAAATGAAATGTTAAAAATCCATAACTTGGGAGCAAAAGGAGCCTGTGACTCCTTCTTTTCCCCTACCTGAATCAGAAGGGTTTTCCTGAAATGAGGGGACAGACCTGGGCCTGCTGACATCAGCCTCTGGGTCTGCAGGATCCTCACCGCTGGGCACGCAGCGGAGCTAAGTGCTGGGGACAGAGCCGAGGGCTGGACTTTCCTCAGATTCGCAGCCCACGAGCAAGGAACCTAACGAGAGATGGGGCCACGCCCGATGCCGGTCCCCAGACTGACGTTCTCGCTGCTTTAGAACTGTCACCACACTAAGGCAAGTTCACTGTCAAGAGAACACTCACTGTCTTAGGATCTTACTCAGCAGCACCTCTACCTCTAAGAGTCTGATCTGCCTGGGGACTGGAGACAGCAGCTCAATCCATATCTAAACCACGAGGTTTCATTAAAAACAAAAAACAACAACAAAAAAAATGGTCCCTGGGGTCCCCTCCTCTTCCTGGAGAGCTGCCGCACTACCATTAAAAGCTTCATTCGTGACTGCCCTTTGCAAAAGGTTCCAGAAAGGCCTTAAAGGTGAATAATCTCATCTTTGTATTGTGTTTGAAGGGCCGTCAGTGTATCAAGACGAATGGCCAGTCCGTCCTCGTAGCCACCGGAATGAAAAACAGTGATTCCGCTAGGATCCAATTTATCTTTACCTTTGTCTTCTAGCTAAAATATCACAGATTGCTGCACTGAATACCACAGCTTCACGTGTGGTATTTAGAATTATCTGCACCCTGTGCTACATTTCCATTTCCCACCTTGACTTTCACATGGAACAAAACGGTTAAGTTACAGGTGCAAATTCCTCGGCTAAATGATTTCTATCAGTAGGTCAATGAATTCAGCTCCCCCCCCCTCAGCCAGATGGAAGAAGAGCTGCCATACTGGACGAGGGAGATGGAAGCACATGCCTCCTTAATCACGGCAGTCGTAATCTCCCGGGGGCACTGACGCTGGACCGGGTGAGTCCACACCAGGCCTAAGCAGTGAGTGATTCATGCTGGACGAAAGCCAGAGCTCAGTCCAAACAAATGATCCAGCCCAGAATTTGGGGTCTGGTAGGAGATAAGCCCTGCCATTTCTGACTCCTTCCGAAGAAAGAGTCCTAAGCCAGGGGACAAGTGGCCATGGTCCCAAAGATTGAATATGACCACCTGCCAAGCCTGTAAACTTGGAAAAAAATCCACTTTAATATCAACAAACCCTAAGCCTAGATTCTGGGCCTCCCAAGGACTCTTGCCACCTGGAATTTAAGTTGGTCTCAGGATGACAGGGCAGCTCAGGTGTCTCAGGTCAGCAATGCTCCCAGGTTAGCAAAGGGCTCACGGCATGTCACTAGATCAGGCTGAAAATCCCTGAGGACCAAGCCAGCTGGGGCAGGGGTGGGGCAGGGGTGGACATGAGGTCCGACCAGGCAGAAGGCCCCCTTCAGCCAAGGTTAGGTTTGCAACCTGCTCCAGACGGCCGGTGGTCGCAGGAACTTGCAGACCTAGAAGGCGGGACCTCAAGGGTGTTCCCCAGCATCTTCCAAACGAAAGCAAATGATTTCTCAGAAAGTATTTCAACAGTGACAGAAAACCAGGTCTGAGTGGCTTCTCGCTTCTGTCACCGTGCAGGGATTTCTGCCTGGTTCCCTCACAAACACAGTCCCTTTCTGCTGCAGTGTCGGGAAGGCCTGAGTCCTTGGGTTCCCTCTTCAAACAAGCACAGGGACGGAGGAGGGAAGTTCTGCTTTGGGCTAAGCCCAGGCTCCATGTGGCCTAAGACACAGCACTGCCTCCCAGGTCCGTTCCTCTCCTGGGCGCCCAGACCCCAGCCCTCTGCATGGGCGTGAGGACAGACTGACAGAGAGATGCCAGACTGACAGACAGCCGTCTCGGACAGCGTGGAGTCCACAGGAGCCCAGAACCCCTGACCCACCATGCAGAGGGCACTACGGCGAACCTCATTTTCACCCCGAGCTTGCGGTTAAAACCACAGAAGAGAAGTGTCCGTGTACAGAAAGACTCGAGCAAAATTCTCCCAACAAATTCCCCAGTCCCACCGGAAGAGGGTCCGCCTATGTCCTCCGAGAGAAGCTGACCTTCCCTTTCACTCCTGCCCTGTTCCGACCACCTCTAAATGAGAAGACCTTGACCCTTCCGCACACACTAACAGTGACCGTCACTTGACCAGAGTGAGAAAGGCTGCTTCTCGGGAAACGAGAGAAGGTTGCTCTTCCAGGAAATGGCAGTGAAGCCTCAGCTTCTAAACAGATTATTTTCTTTTGTAAATATACGTACTGCTGAAATGATGGCTAAACCCACACTGCAGAGGAGAAAAACGGATTAGTTGTACAGTTTACATTTCAACGCCCAAACTTATTTAGATATTTACATAAAAGACGCTAGCTTGATGAATCAACGTCTATTTGCATTTCCACGTGTGAATGTGTTTCATCTTGAATTCTGTATCAAGGAGCTATAGTGAAAATATTTTTGAATAAAGCAATAAGCCCTAAAAAGCTAGTTTCGAGATAAGCCGTGAGATCCGTCCATTTGAAAGTGATTTCTCTTTGCTGTGCACATCGGCGTGGCCGAAACTTGGTCACATACATGGGTATACTGACGGCTGTTCCATTCACAGAGCCAAGCAGGAAGGATGAAGGGGAAGAAATCACTTGTCACCAGTAACCTAGTGTCCCAAGTCAAGTCAAATCCTAAATGATGGCCCCAGAACTCTACTCACGGAGCTGGCTTCCTGTGGTTAACCATCGCTGTCTCACCAAAGCTGACATCCACCGAACGCCCTGCCAGAGAACAGGCGGTGACCACCAGGAGCAACACCTCCCAGACCGGCCCCTTCCAGAGGAAAGCAAAACAAACAAACAAACAAACAAACAAACAAAAACCCATCGCTGCCACACGGGGTTCCCGACCATGTATGTTCCTGGGGGAAGGCACTGTCAGATCTGCTCTCGAACAAATCCGCTATGTCTCTGGCTCCCACCATTTAGCTCAAGGAATGTCGTCTCTGCTAAAGAGACGTCTGTGAGGGCTCCACACTGGTACACAGTCTTGTTCACGGGCCCCGACCTCAGTCAGCCAGCTCAGATCCTCGCCACGTTACGGAGTCAAGTGGATCTTTGTTCTGATCTGCTAGTGATGCCTCCAGAGGACTCATCCCACGAAACACCTCTATCCTGCACCTCACCTGCTCTGCCTTTGGTGGCAACGAATGCTACTCTTTAAAAATTCCCAAATTACTCTGAGAGGACGGTTAGCCTTTAAAGGAGGCTGAATTGGAAAAGGAATTTGCTTGCAAGCGCCAAGGCCGGCGTTAGCCCTTCGGGATCTGCCAACCTGTCCCAAGAGGGAGGAACCCCGAGAAAGGAACAGTAGTACCCTGAGCGGCCAGGAGGAACGTTTCAAGGCTTCGTTCTAAAATTTCAGTTTTCAGCTGGCTGAGGAGCGACCTCTGCCTGTCACCCTGTCCTGAGAGAAGTTCATACTTGGTGTCAGAAACCTCCTTTTGCCCCACGCTGGGGTCTCTGCTCTACGGAGAAGACATAGATTTGTCCTCATCAATGGGAAAAAGGGATCTGATCCCAAGATGACCCCCAGAATGGATAAAAATCTTGAACGGTCACCTGGTCCAGCTGCCACCTTCAGGCAGATGGACATCCAAGGTCACACTGGGCGGACGGCTGTCTCATTCTTGAATACGTCAGGGGACACAGACCATACAGATTTCCTGAACAGTCCACCCCCAGTGTTGCTCGAGCTCGGCTTCTAGGGATATGTGGCCTTCGCCACGTCTCCTGAAGTCACTCGACAAGGAGATGACAGAATCGGCTTTGATAACACCTACGACCAAACCAGGCAGCAACTTTGGGAGAAAGTGGTCCATTCTAGCGTCTCGCCAACGCAGGACAAAACCACGGCAAGTCTCATCTGACCAATAGGGAGCACAGAAAGAAAGATTGCAAAAATCACATTCGTTGGAAAGTATAAACAATATTTCTTTGTGTCGACTTGATAAAAAATGAGCCCTCTGGGGCACGGGGTGAACGCCCCACGAGAGCAGCTCACCGGTCTGGGCTCACTGCCTCTACGGGCAACAGGGGTTGTCAATGACCAACATGACATCGATGCCATAGGCCTCCAGCAGGTCCATTAGAAAGCTCCGGTCTCCCTGGGGGTCCAGACCCATGCCCCGCGCATGCTCGGCCGTCAGAGTTTTGTCTTGACTGGCGGACACCTCCAACAAAGTCTGAAATATCCGGTTGTTTTCCTCTAGGAAAAACCTGCATTCGCCAGACAAGACACAGGAGAGGGAGAGCAGAGAAGACAAAACAAAACAAACAAACAAAAAAAAACGCTCACCAAACTGTCCACGCACAGGGAACCAAAACAACACTGTTTTCTTTAACGTACTTTTAAAGGGTCTCGAAAATCAAATACCTTTTTAAAGAAGAAAACAGGATCCAGGTTTAAAGCGTTATTAAAAGGCTAGCAAGGTCAGCAAAGACACCACGGCATGGTCAGCAAAGTCTCTGAGCACGTGACTTTTGGTGGCCAAAAGACTGTCTCTCCCTGTTGCGAGGTCACTAGAGGTTTAAACGCAGCTTTGGGGAGAGGTCCCGTTTCCTGTGCTCTCTCTCTGCTTAGTCATAAGGGGAAGTTTAAAAAAAAACAAAAAACAAAAAAAAAACCTGATCCCACAGTTCTGAGGTCGGCGCTTCAAATAAGAAGCTGAAATACACCTTCGAAGCCCTGGGTGAGTGACTGGAGCGGCGGCTTATACAGGAAGAAGGGCCCCGAAGTGGCCCTCCTGCCCACGCCGCCGGCCACCGCAGACCTGACGCTGACTGGCCGCACGTTACAGGTGGCGCTCGGAGGCGCGGGGCAGACGCGGGACGTGAAGGGTACAGGAGACACGGAGCTGTCGCTCACCGTCATCTCGGCCATCCGTATTCCTCCACTTCTTAAAAAGTTATGCACAGGGCGTGATCGAAACGTCACTGATTTACAGTGCGACACGAATGTGTGAGCCACGTTCAGAGAAGTCGTTGACTGTCCAGACTTTTTGCGGCCATGTCCCGCAGCTCGTGTGGAACTCAGGTTCGGCAAAGGCGGCCAGAGCCCCGAGCAGCTCTGGGGCCCAGGAAGTTCAGATACAGTGCAACGGGTCAGACCTTGAAGGCCGCTGGCTCTGGGCTCGATTCCCAGATTCTTCTACGTTGCAACGGTAAACGTGTATGATACGCTACCCTTCCTCTGCATCGCAGTGCTCCGCCTTAGCTGAAACGTCAGCCTGAAGTTTTCGGCGGCAAAGCTAGAGAGGGTTCTGATTGTAGGTGCCGCTCCCCATCCCCATCCCCGGCCCCGGCCCGGACCCGGACCCGGGGTGGGAAGACCACACGGGAAGCTGGGAGAACTGTTTCTGTTTCCACTGCAATTCTGTTCTCGTCACTGAGCTCTACGTCTACAGCTGCTCAGGGATGAAATCGGTGCTCTGAGGTATAAAGGCTCCGACCCCGACCAGCAGATCTGGGGGATATTTCATTGGTTTGAAGTCAAATGTTCTGATTGTCCCATATTACTCGGTGCAAGGAACTGCTCTATTCAAAGGAAGCGATGGCTGAGAAGTCCCTGTATTGAGGGACAGAGCTCCTATGCAGTGGACATCTGGATGCGAATGTCCAGCAGAAAGACAAACCCCAAGGGCCCCCATTTCTCTTAACTTCCCCCTGCTTCTCTCCCTAAGTCCTCTGGGTCCCCCACTAATGGCATTTCAGGGTTCAGGGCTGATGGTAATGGAACCCAGCCCTAAGTGCCGTTAGCAATGTCAACGAAAAAGGGACTATGCTGTAAACCGGACAAGCGCAGAGGGCCACATGGCAGGCCTGACCACCTCAGTGACCCAGAGTGGCCGCACGGGATGGTCTGATTGTGAATTCCTAACTGGGCAGGTCACGGCGGACGGTCACGTCCCAGGCCTATAGCTTCCTCAGCAAAGGTCAGTCTTTACCTTGAGTGAGCCCGTCCAGCGTTCTTATGCATCTGGGACAACGTACCTTTGGAATATCTGAGTGATTCTCTTTTCCTACCCCTCAAAGGCGCAACCGCCAGCACCAGGGCACGAGGCCACAGGACCCCGCACTGCTATCCTGTTCCTCACATGCCGTCTCTGTGTGCTGCAGAAGTTAGTCATGAACTGTCCTGTACCCACCAGGGGAAAAGTATGTTCCCCCACGTTGCCTTTTATCCAGACCTTGACATTCCCCTGCCCTTCCCCCGCCTCCTTAATCTCCCGCCAGTGGATTTCATGCACCTTCATGCGCCTCCTGAGTCTAATGCATAAAAGCAGCCGCAAAACATATTCTCCGGTGCCTCTGAGCCGCCAGTGGATTTCATGCACCTTCATGCGCCTCCTCTGAGTCTAACGCATAAAAGAAGCCGCAAAACATATTCTCCGGTGCCTCTGAGATCTTGCTCCACGGCACATGTCATCGGTTTGGCTCAAATAAACTCATAAAAATTCTCTACAGGTCTGGCCGTTACTTATGACGGCAGCAATAAAGGACCTCCGTGGTCTGCAGCGGTGACATGGGAGGGGTCCAGGGCCACAGCGTTAGGGCCGAGGGCTCCGCAGGGAGCCCCGCGCCCCGGCCCCAGTGACTTACAGCACAAAGAGGTCCTCTTCGCACGGGGTGTAGTCTTCGCCCACTTCCTGGGAGTACAGCAGCATCTGCCTGCAGTGAAGGAGACCATCGTCAGGCTGCCACAGCTGCAGAGACCCCTGTCGTCCGTCAGGCACCTGCACGGGCCGCCTTCTCCCGGGAAGGAGGGTGACCCAGAGGGGGCCGGAGGCAGGGAGAGGGGGGACCGGGGAGGAACGAGCAGCGCCGGGAGTCGAAACCCCTGGGGTGCAGGGCCACTTCCGGTATCCCAAGCACGACGATCTTTCCTCGTTGCCGTAAAACGGGGATGATGATGATGGTACCATTTATGTCAGAGTGACCGAGTTATGGGGAATTATATGAGACGAGGCACAGGCAGGCTTTCAGGGCTGTGGTGCGTACACCACGTGCTCGCTCGGCGCCGGTTCTGTCTGGGGCTTCGCGGACCCCAACGGCGGGGAGAAGCCCCACCCCCACCCCACGCGCATCTGCTGCCCGGTGGGGACGCGGTGGGGGCCTGGCTTCCTGGCCGCAGAGCTTCCCCTCACTGCAGTGCCTGGGCAGCAGGCGGGTGGCCGAATGTGCCGTGAGGGGAAGGGTGGGCAGGTCGGCTTGGCAGAGGCCTCCGCCCCCGCCCGGCTGTCCCGGAAAGGCCGGACGTGGGGGCATCGCTGCGTGCGTGCTGGCCCCGCCACCCCATGTGGCCGCGCACGGCCCCGGGCCCACTACCTCTGCTCGTTCAGCCGCCGGTACTTCTCCCGGTCGGCGCCGTTGATCTTCAGCAGGGGCTGCAGGTGGCCGTGGTGCGTCTTCACGTTCTGGTTATCCACGTAGACATCATATAGTTCCCGCTTCTCCTCGAAGATCTTCTCTGTGGTGCCTGCAGGGCCCGGGGGGTCAGGAGCTGGGAGCTCGGCGGCTGTCACTGCAGGGCACCAGCCCGACCCCGGCGGGGAAATGAGGAGCCTGGGGGCCCCGAGTCCGTGAGGGGCAGGGCCCTTAGGGAGCTGGGAGGCTGCCGAAGGTCAGGGTCCCATGTGGCAGGAGGCAGGGAGGGCCCCGTACTCACAGGCCACATAGGACACCTCTACCTCCAGGCTCTCGATGTCGGCCACGTTCACGTAGAAGAAAGGCTTGGACTCGGGAACGGTGCTCCCGATGCCGGGCAGGGAGACGTTGGCCAGGCAGCAGCAGCAGTACACTGTGGGGGACAGAGGCCGTGGGGTGACGGTCAGTCTCCAAGGACGCCTCCGGCTTTGCTCCGTGCTGTCCTGGGCCCGAGGTACCGGGTGCTCCCACATTCTCAGGACGTGGGGAGTGGGAGGGGAGCCTTTCGGGTCCCACGGCAGAGCCTGAGCTCCTGGAGGTCACACCGGCGAAGTCTTCCACACCCGGTGGACACGTCTGTCCCCGTCTCACTACGTCTGGCTTAGGTCTTAGCCCTGTCGGCCTCGAAACTCTCGCCTGCTATGACCCTTCTGTCTTCCGGCCTCTGGCGGTTCCACCTCGGTCTCCTCTGCCTCCCGTCCTTGCTGATCACCTGCCGGGCCCGCCTCTTAAACACTGGCACGCTGCCCCCGCCCCCCGCTCCGCCCGCCCACCCCGTAGTTATCAGCATGCCCGGCTGCAGCTCCAGCCCGGCTTCTTCCCCGAGGTCCTGACCCAACGATACCAGCGCCTGCTGTGCATCTCACGACGGCCAGCACATGTCCGATGCGTCCATCACGCCACCCCCGTCCGCTCCTCCTCGGTCCCCACCTGGGGGTCCTGCCATCCCTGTCGTCCTAGACTCCCCCTCCATCACGACCTCGCACACAGCAGAACCTTAGGCCCCGATGACGCACCGGATGTGGCCAAGCTTCTCGCTTAGACATGTCTGGATCCATCTTCTCTGCTTTGATTCAGATCCTTACCTCTCACTAGAGCACAGACTGGTCACCCAGTCCACGGTCTGTGCTGCCACCAGAGTCCGCATAGTAAAATACGAATCCAACCATGTCGCTCCCAGGCTTAAAACTCACGACCCTCCTGGAGATGCCCCAACCCTTCTGGACTTGGTCGGTGATGGAAAGATTCAAGCGCCCTCAGCACCAGGGGACCCCGGCTTTGCTCTCACTCACCTCGATAGCACACGACGCCCACGGGAGGGGGAGAAAATATCAAAATGCGCTTCCGCAGCAACGCGAACTTCCAGAGGATGAGGATCTGTTCCCCGAAGAACTTGATGAACTGGGACATGCAGCCAGCCGGGTGGGTGATCTGAGAACGTGAACAGGGGAGGAACGAGGGGAGACCGGCTTGCTGGAAATATGACTGCGAGAAATACTCAGTATGTGCTAAGCACCCCGCTCCGCTCCCCCCGAAATGCCACGTGCCGTCATTAAGAGACGGTTCCTTCCACGTAAAACGGTACTTTTCCCTTTAAAGGTCTGGTCTTTAAACTGGATTTCTAGGACTCGGCAGCTCCCCTGACACACTGAGGTTTGAGTTCAGGGGTCGCCAGCCACGTGACTCGGGAGGGCGGGGCGCGGAGGAAAACGGGACTGAGCCTGCAGTCTTAAAAGACAGAGAGAGAAGTGCCTCTGCGGTGACAGACGCCTCGCCGAGGCCACGCAGCTCGCGAACGCTACTGAGCACCGGAGGGACGCGTGATGTGTGAACAGGCCCAGCTGAGGTCCCCAAGTGTCTAGGGACCCGGACACTGTGCGGGGCGAGGTGTCTGCACAGCTCACAGGGAGGAGGACTCGCTGGGCCCGCTGCCACCACAGTCCGCCTGCTCCAGCTCCAGCTGCCTGCGACTCGTGCCGAGCTCCAGGAGCCTGTCGGCCGGGCAACTGCCCTCTGGGGTCCCTGCACCCAGGAACACCGAGGGGCTGACGGCAGGAGCGTGGACCCCGCAGGTGCTGAGCTCCAGCCCCAGCTCTGCCACGGACCGACGGGAACGCCTTGGTAAGTTTCCCAGCGTTTCTGGCCCATTTTCCTCCTCTGCAAAATGGAGAGACCTGACTGCTCTGTCTCTGCCCGCTCTGGCCTCTACTTTGCGATGAGACAGGAAGGGAGCTCGAGCCTGGTCAGGATGCTCAGCCTCCCCTCTGCTTATCTGCAGGCCCCAAAATGTGTGCTTCTGCCACTTGAAGGCCTGGCGGGGTTTTGTCCAAATGTGTCCTGGGCCCTAGAATCCTCAAATAAATGATCGGTCCTGAATTCCGAGCTTATCTGTTCATTCATTCATGGATGCATTCGCGCATGAAATAGTCGTCGCATGCTTGCTTCGTGCCAAGCACTGGGCTAATCGTCTAGTCCCAACAATGCACGAGAGGCCCAGGCCCTGGCCTCGCAGAGGGGACGGGCTAGTAGGAGAAAGGGTGCCCGGCCTGAGGAGGGCCGGGGCTGCAGAGGCCGCTTGACCCGATTCTGGGAGAGATGGAGAAAAGTTCCTCCAGACGGTGATGTCTCGGCTTCGACATAAGGGACGAACTGGGAGACAGTGTCCCTGGCAGAGGAACCAGCGTGTGCAAAGACCCAGAGATAAGCGACAACAGCCCGCTACCTGGGAACTATACGTAGTTAAGGGCCGGGCACGGGCCTGTGACAGGGTGACACAGGAAGCAGCCTCAACGAGCGAGACCCTCCCTCGAAGAGGTGGTCACGGAGCATGCGCCCCCCTCCGCCCGGCCCTGTGCAGCTGCACGATGCCTCACTGTTCCTGTAGCTGAAACCTTTCCGCCTTTTATCAGCCTTGCTCCATGCGGCTTCTACAGAGGCTTCTCTTCCTGGGCCGGGACAGCTCCCACCCCTGGGGAGAGAAATCCTGGGCCTCCCAGGTCAGACGCAGGTCACCTCCCTGTGGGGTTGGAGTCAGAACCTCTCTTGGCACGGAGAAAGAGCAGGGTTTGGTCCATACGAGCTCAGAGTCTCCCTGACGATTCCCGGACTATTTCTTAATCACTCAGCGCACACCACGGGGCTGAGAAACCTTCAAACTACATTTCCTGGACCCGGTGCCGGCTGGCGTCCCGTTAGGTTCTTCCAACGCGAGGCAATGACAATACCGAGAGGCAGGAGGAAGGGAGAAGGAATTCCTGTTCGTACACCTCTCCAGCAGCGGAGGACACCTCCGATTCCCACCTCCAGCCCCCGCGGAGCGTCCGGCATCATCGGGCACACAGCGCCTCCCTCAGCCACCCGAGGACCGGCTGTGCAGGGCCCCCACCCCAAGCTACTGTAGTTTGGATGATGTCACCTCTCCCTCTTTGTCACCCCAGACCCGAGAGTATGGCAGGCAGCCTGGACCACAGCACCAATCATCTCCACCTCTTGTATTTATGGTCTTAGGTCATCCCCGCTTCTGACTGAGCTACTTGCTCCAAACCACCCGTCTGACAACACTGCTCGCCTGCCACGCCCGTGGTTGGGCTACAAAGGATTCTGACTTCTGTCTTACCAGCAGACTTTTTTCACTTGCTGGCATTAACGAAGCAACCCACTATGCTGGAGAGACCCACGGGGTGACAAACCGAGGACCACAGCCAGCAAGGTACTGGGGCCCTCGGTCCAACGGTCCCTCAAAGAACTCGATCCTCCCGATGACGTGAGCTCAGAAGGGGGCACGCTTCCCCGGACGAGACCCCATGCCTGGCCGGCACCTCGACTACGATCTCATGAAGGATGTGAAGTGGGTAACCCAGCTAAGCCATGCCTGGATTCCCGACCCGCAGACACTGTGAGATAATGAATACGTGCTGCTTTAAACCTGTAATTTGGAGGCACTTTGTAGTTCAGTAATTTCGGGTAGTAGGCATTATCTGTAGTGACTAATCTATAGGTTATTTATTCCCTCTTCGTTCCTTCTGCCTTCCAATTCCTACATTCCTGATTCCCTGAAATGAGTCTGAACTATCTAACATAGTTTGAGTTTTCCTGACAGGACACTAACTGGTACTTATTTGGGTTGAAAGTCCATAGCTGACTATTTAAGGTTCTCTCCAATCTGATAACCACCTATTTTTTCCAGCCTTTTCTCTCCTGCCCAGCGGACGTAAAAATTTAGTCCCGGTCAAACGAGCTGGCTCCCGTCCCACGAGCGTGCGTGTGCTTTCCCAAGCCCATCTCCGTCCGCAAAGGCAGTGGAGTGGGGCAGGGAGCTAGTGGCAGCCTCGGTACCAGTCCCGGGGTTAAATCCTGGCTCTGTCTCCAACTAGCGCAAGGCCTTAGGCAAGTCACTGAACTTTTATAAACCTTGGTTGGTTTTTCTGTAAGATAGGCATTAAAAAAAATTTTTTTTTTTTACCTTAGAGAGTGCTACAACAGGTACAGGTAAATAGCTAGCAGAATGCCTGAGTCACAGAAAGTTCTGGAAAGCAACAGTCCATGGCCCTGCTACTGCCTGCACCTTCCCTCGGTCTGGACTCGGCATCTCTCCCTCTCCGCCAAACACTCCAGGGACCAACTCCTCCCCGCCAGGAAGCCGTCCCAGACTCCTCCCTTAAGCTCGTGTAGTAATTCTCTACCAGGGAGGCGAGGTTCCCCCTGGGCATCCTGCGACCACCTACAGGGAAGGGGGCGGGAAGGACTTCAAGTTCATAGTCATCTTTGTACCGGCCCAACACCTAACACTGGGCCGGGTATTTTGTTCACTATCAACAAATATCTTCTAGTACAAAGGCAGGACACTTTGGGAAAAATACACAATAAATATCAAAAAAATACTGTAACTAAGGAACACCAAATACCTGTTCAAACTCTTCATCTGTAGTTCAAATGTCTGGCTTTAAAATATCGGAAGCAATCGGTAGGATTACATCCACCTCTGGCCTCTAGGAGTCCACCAAGACTGGCCTATCAATACGACTGTGTATTATGATTACGGGAGTGTCTAGGAAACATATTACTTAAGATAACTTACCCTATGGTTTAAAAGAACCCAAATGCTTAGGCGAGCGATCCGATCCTATCAAAAGCAGATTTGGGGCATGAGCCCAAGACATGAATTCCTGGTTAATTAAGAAATGCTGTACCCAGACACAAGCCCAGGACGCGCGACAGGACGGCTGACCTCACCTTCATCTCGGGGTACATGTATCGGTGGATGGAAGGCAGCCAGTAGACAGGGGGCAGGCTGCCGCCGCTCCCTGAACCTGCGTGGAGCACCCCTTTCTTGTCCTCGTAGAAGGCAGCCAGATGGGAGTAATGTCCCGGCATCTCCAGCTGGTGTCTGCAAACACACGAGCACAGTGAGAATGGCCCCAGCGCTGCGTGGCCGCCCCGCCTCCCCAGGGGCTCCGACGCTTAGGGGCAAAGGCCTGATAAACTCAGAAACCCCCTTTGTGAAGTTTCCCAGGCCGCCTCCTTAGTTGTCACAGAAGATCCTTAGGAAAAGCTCCACGGGCTCCAACAGATAGTGCCTGACAGCTCCAAGGAACACATTCCCCTTCTCATGGGAAACAGGCAGAAGTAAACAGACCGTGACTAACGCCTATTGTTCTGGAGCAAGGTATGCTAACTGCAGCGGCTGTGAGGAGGGGGAACTTGGAGGACCCAGATTCCCTGCTTCAAGCTGCTCTTTGTTTAGAAATCACGCTCGCTTGCTTGCTTGCTTGCTTTGTAAAAGAGTAAGAGAAAGCTTACCCCTCAATGTCTCAAACAACGGAAAACGATAATGACTGGATGTCACTAAGGGCTCATAATTTCTACACCAAGTAATAAATAAAAAGCTCAAACTCTCTTCTCTTCCCACCCCCACCCCGCTCGAGCTGCCAGAGACTTGGCTTTGGGCGGCCCTGTCAACTGACTCCCAAACCCAGGAAGATGCACTGAGGCCTCGGACCATCTGGACCACGGAGAATCCTGCCTTCCAATTGAGCGCTGCAGGGACTATGGTTCAATGCTGATTTGCTGCTCCGTTGCTGACTGTCTTTTCTGTCTGCCTGCAAGAAATGCTATACTTGAACCAAGATCTAAAGGAAAACTCCCTACCAAGTTAGAGTCCCTCTGACAACAAGCTTGTTTCAGGATCCCGTCCTCTGACAGCCTAAGATGCCCCTGACTGATGGAACAGAACAGGCGATAATACGGAACACAGAATGTGAACGCAGCCGTCAGTACGCATTGGCAGTCCCTGCATAAATGTTAAAACAGCTGTTGCACGAAAGCCTCAAGATGTAAACATACTACAGATTTTGCAATAAACAAGGCTGATCATCAAACCGCAATACCGAGGTAAACCGAATGGTATGGAAACAAGGCTGAGGATGCCGGAAGGTTAGCTTGGGCTTCGAGGATGATGCAGAAGGGGACCCGCCTGGTGCTCTTACCTACGAAAATGCGTAAGAAACTAGCACACGGAAGGAAATGTAGGCCAAGCGGCTCTGGAAGCTGTCCAAGAGACGTGACATCGTAAACACTGCAGAACGACCGGCAGGATACGTGCTATTGATCTGAAGCTGCAGGCCGCAGGGCCAGACGGAGGGTTCCCCGGCAGGACCGGAGACCCTGCGCTGTCCTGAAGCCCGCAGCCCCTTCGCTGACACACTGGCTGAGTGACCGTGCAGGTGCCCGCGGCGGCCCGGCCTTCCCCGCCACACCCAGCGATAAGGCTCCCAGCAGAAGCATCGGAGAAGCTTCTGAGCGACGATCACACTTCATCGCACCGGTGTGTCCTCTACTGGTCTGAACCAGTCTGTCTCTGACTTTGCAAATACACCAAAAATGGCCTTCCCGTGGACTGCTGGTGCAAGGGCAAACGGACACCACCTTTCCGAAGGGTCACTTGCAATTCGCGTCAAATCGTCCGCTGTGTATATACCCTCCGACTCAGCGGTTCCAGTGAACCGCGGCCTAACAAGCTGTATACGGATATGAACAACCACTGACCCACTGGGACATCGACATTTACAGAGGTGAAAAATAAACAACCTAAAAGCCCCTAAATGGTAACACTGTTCAATAAACTGTGATATGTCTATATGCCGAAATGTGTGAAACCAGCAAAATAATGTTGAGGACTATCATTTGTGATATACGGAAAGGTGAACACACCAAGTTAGAAAATTTAGATATTGAATGACTTGATATTATTTTTAAATTAATGTCTGTGTACATATTTTTACATGGGGAAGAGACCAGGAGGATGTCAATGTTAATGATAGATTTATCTGGCTGATGGGATCATTTTTTTTCTTTGAACTTTTGTCTATTTTTCAAAGGTTTCTATAATAACTATATGTCAATGCTACATTTAGTATTTTTAAACTTTTCACTATGGAAATGTTGAAATATACACAAAAAGTAGAAAGAAGAAAATATACCCCATTCTCTATCACTTAGCTGCAACTCTGATCAATATTTTATCAATATGGTTACATCTATAACCTATGCCCCCTCCACTCTTTTTCCTGAAATGTTGTAAAGCGAACCCCTTATCATAACATTTCACCCATAAATACTTTGGTATGCATCTCTAACTGATAGTCTATTTAAAAAACAACATAACCGCCCTGCTATTATCTTGCCTAACAAGATAATGGTGCCTTAATATAAACTAATACCCAGTCCACATTCAAATTATACCAACTGCCCCCCAAGAAGTTGTTTTACAGTTGGTTGTTCGAATCGAGATCTAAGCAAAGTCCAAAAATGTAGCGATGTGTCTTAATCCATTGTATAATATTCCCTCTCTTCCTTTCTCTGACTTATTTTAATTCTAAAGTAGTTCTCCAACATCTTCTGATTCATAAGAAACAGTCAGAGACTCTCTAATTAGAGAGAGATTGAATCCAAGAGGTGTAGACGAATTACTAAGTTTGGGATGTCAGAAATAAGAATAAATATAAAACGCAGATTAGGTGGTTTCAGAAATTGAGGCTAGTTCATTTATATAAACGTCACTAGTGCTGTTGAGCATTATCTCTGCCTAGACTGGGCTTCTCCCTCTTCCTCATAGTCTCTCATGCAAGTCTCTTCTCTCACGTTAACCCTGAGCCCTCCTTAATCACCAAGCTGGAAAACCTTTCTAGCTATGACCTAAAATCTAGAAGCCAGAAAGAGATGAATGAATTCAACGAAGGAAACCGTCTGCGTGACGAAAAAAGGTTAAAAGATAAACAACAAAGCGGAAAAATATTTTCAATTTATGTCACGAAGAACAAATCCCCATGATACAAAGAACTCCTAGAAATTAGTAATAATTTTTTTAAAAAGGCCAACAACCCCCCCCCAAAAAAGAAAACCCATAGCAAAGGCTAGAACAATTCACAGTAAAGCAAAGACAAATGACTCAAACTCCAACTCACTCGTAAGCAGAAAAATGCAAATTAAAACTATATTCATG